GTTCAGAATATTGGGTCGCCAGGTTTGGTAATATGCCTTCTTGATGTCGAGAATAGCCAATTCAGTATGAGCTCCTGATCGTTCAGCTTCCGTTAAAATTTCTTTGAGATTGGCATAATAAGTGGAAGTACCACGACCAGCTCTAAAGGCCCTCCAGGTTTTGGGATGGGTACTACGATTCCTTCTTTCCAACTGCTTGGGAATCTTCCTTCCGCCCAAATTACATGGTAGCTTCGGAGCATCGCTATCTTACCAGCAATTGGAAGATGACAAGGTATGTGTGAAGAACAAACATTGCTCTTGATTCATAATGTGCAACATAATCCAGCAAGTATCCACAATTTAACTTTAAATGTGACGCCACGATTACACCACACCAGGCAAATTAATCATCTCTAGATCTCGTGCGTATACAAACTTTGATCAGAAACGGTTTACATTTATAGGTCCAGCCAAATATAACAACCTACCCTGAGATATACAGATGCTAACAAATCGTTCATCATTTAAATCTAACATTAAAAGTAGTAAATTACCACGACTATTAATTTAAGCTTAATTATATTTTCTTTCTTTTTATTATTATATTTTAACCGTCATCAAACATTTAAGTATTAATTATTTGTTAATTTTGTAATGTTTTCAATACACGCGCTTCTTTAAAAGGATACTTTATCCACTAGAAGCGCATAAATTGTTTTGTTCCTAATAGTATCTTCTTATTGTAGAATTGTAAATTAAAATATGCTCAGCCATTTTATATGTAGTGTTTGTATTTATGATGTTGCCTATTGCTGAGTTTTTGAGTGTCCACTACCAGGGGGCTCAAAATGAAGCTTTTCTAAAAAAAATAGCTCAATTCTAAAAATTGCAGGAACGGGGCTGTCTATAAACTACGTATACATATTTTTGTTCATTTAAAACCTCCTTCCCCCAGTAGACAACCGTAGATATTTGGAACTCCCCCTACCTGTCTACGTGTTTTTTTTTCAATACTTCTAAATGCGCTGGAAACCGAAAAATAGAATTATTCTGGAGAACAAAAAATTCAAAATTTTATTCATATACGTAGATATAACTACAATATAACAAGGAGAAAAAGAAGGGAGTAAAGTAAGAAGTAAAGATAAACAAAAAACAAAAAAATACTCTAATTGTGACCCTCCAGAAAGTCTTCAACAAAAGGTTGTTCAAACAAAACATTGAAATCGTCAATCACCGGGAACTCCATGTCTGAATAATTGAAAAACATCTCATCAGAAAGCAGCTCAAATGTACCCTTCTAACCTCGAGTAAGCCGCGAGTAGTCGGCCCAACTCCTACTAGACATAGAATTAAGTGAATTTTGTTACACACAGTGAACAATGGATTATCGGCTCCGTAAAGCTAACGCGATTGAGCCTTCCAAATAAACGAACTAGATAAAAATTAAAGGGTTGTGTCCTAGACACGACCGCAGTATGACGAAGAACCACACAAAATTGATGTTTTTCATGCATTTTTGACTATTATACTTTATCTTAAAATTTTCAAAAGTATTTCAATGTTTCGGTTATGGTTGACTCAAAACAATTTACACATTTTTCTTGACAAATATCCATGTGAAATTCCACATGATTTTCATTTAACCACACATAAACAGAATCCACTCAGAGTCAGAAGTACACATGAAATTTATACGCAAATGAATAGTATGTGTGGTCACGCATGGTTTTTATATGTACATATATGAAGTATATGGCCGACACATAGATATTGATTTGTTGATCACGTTGCAACAACTCATGTGTGGGATTTGAGGGGGGGGGGGGGTTTAAAAGTAGAGATGTTGTTGATTAGTGGGGGGGGGGGTAGGGAAGTTTGTTGATGAGTGGGGGGGGGGGGGGTAGGAAAGGTTGTTGATGAGGAGAGGGTTGTTGAGGGGTGGGGAGATTGTTGTGAAGGGTGAGGTAGAGAGGTTGTTGTGAAAGGGAGAAGGGGTTTACGTCATTAATTTTCCTCATTGTGGTCACGCCGTGATCCACCTTTAGCCGCTGATTTGGTCCTGCTTACTGCAGGACCAAGTGCCACGCCGTCCGAAGCGACAATGAGCAAACGCATGACAGCAGCGCTGTTTTATATCTTTTCCTGTTCAGAACCTGATAGGATTTCCCGCCGTTTTTTTTTATGAATGGGGCGGAGCAAAAAGTTTCTTTTATGCAGAATATGTAAAAAAGGATGGACTTTGGATGTTAATATAATTGCATATATAGAGGTACCAGATATGTTTTACAGTCAGTTGTTGGTAATTCATCGATATGTCTCCTATGATGCAATATTTTTTTTGAAAATGTTGGCTCTGCATGTAAAAAATTATTTTTTTATACATTATTAGGGTTTGCTTAAAATTTATTTCCCGAAAAAAAAAATGATCGTCAAAGTCCATGTCTTTTTCGGGATATTGTTAAGGGGGAGGGGGAGGGTGTTGTTAAGCGGGAGGGGGTTTTACATGCACGTTTTTTCAAGTCTCATCCCTCATTGTGGTGGACACGCCGTGATCCACCTTTAGCCGCTGACCTAGTCCTGCTTGATGCAGGACCTAGTGAAACGCCGTCCGAAGCGGTAATGGCAGAGGCATGAGAGCAGCGCTGATTTATATCTTTTCAGGTTCAAGCAGAATGATGTGCAACCAAGTGGTATTCGTTTGTGATGACTGGGTTTGGGAAAAAGGTTTATTTCATGAAATCAGTGATAAAATTATCATTTGTACATTTTCAATAGTTTAATTACAGAAAAATTGGAAAAATATTTATTTCAACAGGTTCGTAATGTAATATCCTATCGATTGGCGTATTTGGATTTTAATTTCATCTATAAATGACAAAGTTACAAGCGTTCAAAACCTAACACTCCTTCACTACACATATTTTTTGATTTGCACCCCAGTATAGTCGACAAAGACGTAGTTCTACGTCAAAAAAGCAGCTCAACTGACACGTTATCGAGCCAGACAACTTCCATGACATCTCAACCATGCAAAGCACTTCTTCTGATCGCTGCTTCAATATTTTCAGAGGCCGCCTTGAGTTGACTGGCAGTCTGTTTGTGGAAGTTTTTAATGTGAGATGCCACATTGCTCTTTGGTGCAACGTATAGGCCACATACAGTGCTTACGCGTCCTGGAAAATAATAAAAACGATACCGAGTGTCATTTGGGAAAATCCAGACCAATGAGCTAAAATCGGAATTTCAGACTCGGCCCTTTCAGATTACCATGAAACTTTGCAACTTGTTCGCTATGGGAAATCATTTACACGCCCGATCAAAAATGTGGGGGCATTCCCAAATAACATACCATCTAGCCCCGTAACGTGGGTAGATCACCTTTCCGTGGTACGTTACGGGATGTAAGATCTACCACCGATTCCTAGTCCTGACTGCTTCAAACTAGGGGAACAGGATTTTTCAGTAATCAAAGGAACGCATCTTAGTCCTTGTTACTTTTTATGCCTTGTTGATAGTGACAAGACTCGGCTTTGTCCACCGAGGATGATCTTGAAACCAAGGTTGCAAAGACTCATTTCAGCTAAAATAATGTTTTTCGGAATAATAAAACTAAAAGATGGTATGATGGCATGTTTTACTTGTAACTTACAAGAAGAGGTTACAAAGTATGCGTTGGAAACATAAAACCTGTAAATTTTGCTTTCTATGAGTCACAATCAGCGATTTGCTGATCGCTGAGTGAGTGAGTGAGTGAGTGAGTGAGTTTGTGAAAAATCGCTGATTGTGACTCTCATGAAGTGAAATAAACAGGTTTAATATGTCAAACACATTCTTTGCAACCTCTTCTTGTATCCTACCAATTCAAAATTTGATCATGGCATCTGATTATTTCATAATTTAGAAAAACATTGTTTTAGCTGAAATGAGTCTTTGCAACCTTGCTTGAAACAAGGAAAAAATGAGTTAGTTAGTCTTCATCTATGTGATTCCTAATCTTTTATTCGTTGTTCTCTAGTTCAAAGTGGCTAAGACTAGGGTTCTGATGCATGGTCATTATCGGTGTCATTCCTTAATTTTGTTGCTAAAGAATCCAATTTTGACTAACAAATGGCGCACCTTTGGAGGGAATTTCAACACTCCGAAGGGTATAGATAGCGGGACCTTTCAATTAGAGTCGGATCCTTGCGATAAATGCAAGAATTACAACTGTAAAAAATCGAATACTTCATCACCTCTCAATAGAGACGGAGTAATACGGCATGCACTAAACAAAGGACACGGGATATACTACAATAGATCACATTGCTGGTCGCAGTGGTGTTAGGTCCCGAACAGATTAAAAAAAACATACCATCGTACAAACTCCATTTTTTTTCAAAACGAACAAAATTAACTTACCCGGGCTGCACAGCAAAGCTAGGCTAAGCAATTTGATGTCATTCCAGCCGTCTCACTCTATTAATTAGTCACCCTTTCGAACACACACAATGTATTGAAAACCAAACTGTATAAAAAGGAAGTATTATTCAATAAAGAGCGACCATTATTCTGAAGCTCGAACCTGCTGGGAGTCCCCAGTTAGCTTATCGACCCTTCAGACGATTAACTACAATTTTGCTCTGCGACCCTGCTGAATCCCTCCAGCCAGACTTCGCGTCGAGTTGATAAAGCCAAGTGCGCGCGCGTATGTAGGCATCAAATATTAAAATGCCAAAAAATGCTTTCGCCAAGCCCCACGCTTTGGGTAGTGATAAACGTCACTAGAACTACTCCACAGCCGCAGACAGTATATGCGCTCAAACGCGCACTTTTTTGCCTGTGTACTACTCTACTGGAACTTAAAATGCTAGCGGTATAGCTCTGTGTTGTGGATGTTTGTTTGAGTCATTGTGCAATCAGTTGAACAGCTGATAAGTTTTTGTGATTGTGTGGGGAATATAAAAATAAATATAACAATTTTCTGAGACTTTTGAAGTGCATATTCAAATGGGTGCGAATGGTTTCTTATGCATGTCATGTCATTTTGGATTGTTTGATAAAGTATAGAAAGACACAAAACACTACCAATCTGCACGAAATTTTCAATATATCTATACAGAGCTGAAAAAAGGGCCTATCTGCTTTGATCGATGCTCTTCATCGACTTTCTCTTTTGATAATCACGGCTATGAAAACAGTTTTCGTGCTATTTTTGCCACCTAGCTTGATAAAGGAGGTTTTTATCCATCGTCCAAATCATCAAATACAACAGGGAATGTTGTTGCAGCTATGTATAGCTATATTCAATTATATTTCATATAAGCTTGTTGACCGACACTAACACTACCACCACGCATCGCTGGCCTGATTCCTGATACCCAAAACATTGGCCGCTTTCTGGTAGAAGTTGTAGCGTCTCTTCGCAGTAGGGTTCTCCGGACCGTTTTCCATGGGGTTAATCGCCTTGGTAGTCATGCCGAATTTGTTCTGCTGAGGGCCGCCGGCCGAACGGACTGCCCACTCCCAGTACCAAACCGAAACGCGCATCGACATGTTCGGATCGTCGGACACCGAATCAGGATTTTGGACCAGTCGATCATCCCCGAAGATCGACTGCGAAGCCTTCCGGTAGTTGTCCTCCCATGTCAACTGTATAAATCCACGTCCGCAGTATCGAGTTCCGTAGTCCTGACCGGCACCTCCGCTCTGCTCCTTACGATACTTGAAGCCACCGCTCTCGTGGATCAGTTGCGCCAGAAACATGGCCGCTTCGTTCGAATCACGCATGGACTCATTGATCTGGTTGACAATAATCGAGCTCAGACTAGAATCGACCGGACTAAATCCGCAAGCGGATAAAATGCTCTGAAGCTGCGACGTTGATAGAACCATGGTTGAATAAAAACTGATTACTCGGACGCCTGCACCGTTGTTAAATACTAAGAGTCTGTTGTGAAATTAGCTTACGGGGGTGAAAATGGATGAATCATATCAATTGCGCTGGGTTCTGGGTAAATACTTATCTATTTCGCAAAAACAACACAAATAGCTGTGATTTCTTGGAAACTTACACACTAAGATTTTGGTTCCGTGTTCGGTAAATTTTACCGAAATCAGAACCTTGTTTAAAAGATCATATCTTGTCATTTTAGTGGAGATTTAGTTTCAAAATAGCGAAAAAGCAACTGAATTGAATTGCATATATTTTACCGAAAAGTTCAGCTGTTCAGATTCCGATAAAAATTACCGAAGTCGGCGATAATTTCTAAGTGTGTAAACATACATAATCGAAATTTTGGTGCGCACATGCGTCGAATTTTCTATCTTCTATCTTCTATATATATAAAAATGAATTTCTGTCTGTCTGTCTGTCCGACCCTTATAGACTCGGAAACTACTGAACCGATCGGCGTGAAATTTTTTAAGGAGGGGTTTTTGGGGCAGGGAAAGGTTCTTATGATGATTCGAGACCCCTCCCCCCTCTGTAAGGGGGGCTCCCATACAAATGAAACATAAATTTTTGCATAGCTCGAGAACTAATCAAGCAAATGGAACCAAATTTGACATGTGGGGTCATAGAGGGTAGCCCCTTAGATAAAAGGGGGGGGGGCTACGTACAATATAGCATGCTTTTTTATATTGACGCATAAACTCAAGCTAATGAAAATAAATCTTACATCACCGGTTGACATTATTGCACTGATTAAGACTGCAAATTGTAGTCATAATTGCATTTGTAAACAATGGCTTTAGTCGTCGATTTCTCGCGAATAAAAGCTCAACCATGAAAAATAATGACACCAACAGGTAGAGGAATGTTTCCTCTACCAGCTAGCATTGTTATTTTGGAAGGGTGAGATTTTATTCGCGAGAAATTGACGGCTAAAGCCATTGTTAACAAAAGCATTTACGCCCCTTTGAAATGTTGACAGTGATTTGTCGTAGGGTAGAGCGCTACTTCGTCGTAACCGCCCATTCCCGTTCTATCGATCAGAAAAGATCAATAATATCAATGATTTCACTGTGCACAAATCAATAATAGGTTTGTTCCGATGCGTTAGTTCATTCTTCTTCTTCTTCTTCTTCGCATTTCAAGCTTATTGCATATCGCATATTAGCTTATTGCGTGCTCTCAACTTAGTGTTCTAGATGCACTTCCACAGTTATTAATTGAGAGCTTTCGATGCCTGTACCATTTTTGCATTGATATGATTGTGTGGCAAGTCCAATCATACTTCTATGCCCAGGGAAGTCGAGAAATTTCCCAACCCGAAAAATTCCTAGACCGGACCGGGAATCGAACCCAGCCACCTCCAGCATGGTCTTGCTTTGTAGCTGCGCCTTTACCGACTGAGCTAAGGGAAGCCCCATAGAAGCGTTAGTTCATTAGCTACAACATAAATCCTATTCTCAAAACAAAAGAAGCATAACATAGTTATTAAAGTTCAAAAAAGTTCCTAGAACTTCCGAGAAGTCGATTGAACTACAGGTAGTCCTACGAAATTCATGGGAGTTCTCCAAACTTCAGGGAATTTCCAAGAAATTAAGGAAAGACCCACAAACTTTTGAAAAATCCTTCGATATTTAAAGCCTGAAAGCACTTCAGGGAAGCTCTTCTAAATTTAGGGTCCTCATATATTCAGTTAAGTCCTTCAAACTTCAGAGAAGTCCTCAGATCTTCGAGAAAGTTCTTCGAACTTGAAGGAAGTCTTACGAACTTCTGAGAATTGCTACGAGCTTCGTGGTACTTCTACGATATTTAAGAAATTCGTATGAATTTCAAAAAACTCCGAACTTCAGGGAAGTTCTAAGATCTTAAAAAAAAGTCCTTCGAGCTTCGGGGAAGTCCCATGAAATTTAGGCAATACAAACTTCAATGAACCCTTCAGGAAAGACCTTAATGCTTCAGGGAAGTTCTACGAACTTTAGGGAGTTTCTATGAACTTCAGCAGTCAGTCTTTTTGATAATAAGAGTTATTAAACCAGCGTTGTTTATGAAATCTTTTAATCCTATGATTTTGAAATCATATAAATAAGATCCCTAATCGTTGACAATTTGCGGAAACTTTAAACAAACTGGAAATCCGTAAAATTGTTAGAAGCAAAGGTTTGTTTAAAGAGTCCTCATTCATATCACACTTCGCAATTTCACCTTGAGATAAACTAGCCCGTTGGCTATAAATTTCAATGATAAAGTTAAAAATAAAAATCGCAGCTTCAAAAACAGAAATCTAAAGATTTAGGAGCTTATAGATCTCTAAATTTCAGACATTAGATAGGGCTCCGCGCTAGCCCGTCGTATCTCAGCTTTTCTTCGTCATACACCCCTAAAATCGCTAATATCACGGGTTATCGCAAATGTTTCAGTGTCAATCGTAATTAATCTTGTAAGCAAAGATGTTTTTGCAAAATCATGAGTGAAAACGCTTTGCTATTATAGTTTTAGCACATAGAACGGAAATGGGCGCCATGATACGACGAAGTAGCGCGACTCCTTACTAGCTTCTTTACCTTAATACCTATTTTGGTTTGTAAAATTCCGCATTGCGCGAAGAATGATGGTACAAGGATTCACTTAATTTTTTTTTATTAAAAATGGTTTTTTTTTAAATACATGTTTTTTTTTTAAATACATGGTTTTTAAAACCAGGAAATTTTTAAATTATTGACAAGGAAAACCATTAAAAAACCACGAATTTCAAAATGGAAATTCACTTGCCACCCTGATGAAAGAGTTTTCCATTATAAAAACAATATAAAATTACACATATGAACATAATTTTAAGCATACAATCATATTGTGTTTTATTTCATCTTACCCCATAACGTGGGGTAACACTAACAATACAGCAGTTTAACGATGAAAATTTAAAAAAAAGAAACATTCCTTAACACACGTTTATTCATGTATAAAATAAACCTTTGTGGGTATTATGAGCCCATGGCGGGATAACAAGTATCTCCCAAAGTGTACGGTTAGTAGTGAAGTACATCCAGAACAATAACCAAGGAATTACAATGAAATAAACATTATACAAAATACTTTCAATTGTTGATAACTATTCGCATTATAAATGTAATTTATTAGTAATATGAACATATTTAGTGTTACTACAATAAGTTGACCCCAGACTGCCTGTAAATTTATAATACATTTTTTTTTTGTTAATTCGTTTATTTGTACAGGCTCAGTCGAATAAACTTTACAGAGCCGATATATTCTTTTTCTTCTACAATAAGAATCTTTAAACTAGAGTTTAACCAATTACTCGCAGTCGTCTCGAGGTTAGGGAGTTTTACAATTTAAGGATGGGAAATAATTGAGAGGATTACGAATTTCATTTGTTTTAATATGGTAACAATTTCTAGAACACTTACTTAAATCTAAAGAACTGATGATTTCAACATGAGATGAACATGAATACTACAGAAGGAATGTATATACACACACACACAATCTTTCTCGCAAACACATTTATCCTGACAAACATACCAAATTAATTAAGTAAACCAAATTTCATAAATTCATATATGAGTGTCATATAGGGTAAATGATGGCTTCGGCAGCCATCGACTGTTTTCGGCAACCACAATTTAAACGTTAATTTCGATGTATTTTCTCACTAAAACACTTCGCTGAATGTATTTAAACGATTCCTTAGTTTTTCAGCTTCAATCCTAATACATTTTTACGACTGAGCAAACCTGTTATGCCAGGTGTTTCTGCAAAAGAAACATAAGCACATCAAAATACGGCTGATTTCGTGTTGCCGATAATAGAACAGCTGGTTTACACGCAGTTTAAACGGAAAGGTTGCCGAAGTAAAAGAGGCTGCCGACAATAGTCACACTCACCTGAGAAGTTTGTAGCGCCTTAAAAACGTTTTCAAACCGTTTTGGACAGTTTTGTTGATTGGAATGGATAGAATAGCTAGCAGCAGATGAATGTAAACAAACAGACACATCATATGTGTGCGTGACATTGAGAAAATGCTAATAGAAGTGCGGAAGCTGCTTAGATTGACGAAAATACGTAAATTCCCCTATTCCAAATCGCATCCAGCCAAGATATCTCGAACCAAAACATTGGGTTGTCTACCTCGAGCCCGAAGGGAATCGTCCAAATGTGATCTGACTCCACGATACACCGCACAAGACCAAAGGATGTGATCAGCGTCCTGGTAACCTTGTCCACATTCACAGAGATTGCTGTTTCCCAACCCCACACGGAACAAGTGAGCGTTTAGACAATAGTGATTGGACATGAGACGAGACATCACGCGTATGAAGTCTCGACCCAAGTCCAACGCTTTGAACCATGCAAACTTCGGCACCTTAGGGATAATTGAATGTAGCCATCGTCCCAAGCTCCCTTCAATGGATGATGTTGCCAGCTAACGAGCGACTGCTGACGATAAATAGAGAAAAATTCACCATAGGCGATTTGTCGATCATAAATGTCGCCTTACCCACCTTCGCAAGTGAATCCGACTTCTCATTGCCCAAAATTGAGCAATGCGAAGGGATACACGCGAACTTGATGATGAAAGAGCGCACGAATGAAGCATGATACATTGATGCGTTATAATAATTTTTAACAATGAAAAACATTTTAATTGATTGGATAGAGCAACAATCAATTAAAGCTGTAAAACTCAAATTCCTTTTTTTCAATTTTAAACAAACTAGAAATTATATTGTTTTCTTAAGTACCAATGTGCACATTTTTTTACTATTTCTGGGATTTTCGCCAAACAACTGTGCTGATTTTTTTTATCCATTTTAACTTGCTCATTTCATTTTACCCTATGCGGTGCAAACATATGGGGCAAGTCAATTTTACGGAAAATCAGTGTGACCGAAATTTTCTATTCAATCACTCTAACTAGCCTTCATATGCACATCACTGGATAATATTATAGAAAATTAAAATTTTTGGAGAAGATCGAAGCACTGCTAAAAAAAAATCATAACTCATTAAAATAAACAAACCTTAGGGGCACGTTTAACTATTTGCAACTACTTGTATTAACAGTAAAAAAATGCGTATAAGTGCTTATACGACCTTTTCCGATTTGAATGAAACTTTCCATTATTAAAAATGATGAGTACTAAAGGGGTTAGATTTTGATAAGTTCTTTACTGGGAATGACACTGATGAAGACTGCACATTTCAGTCGAAATATATATCTGTCATAGATACCAAAATGAATTAAGTGGAATTAAATGGAAGATAACCTTTTTTGCTGTTTTATTCAAGCATTCTGCTAACAACCCAATTTCATTACTTCATCCCTGTACATATTAGCAAACCATCATTCGAAAAGCCCATCACTATGATATTGTACAACTCTTTTCAAATGACGTCTTATCGCACCCTACGAAACACTATAGTACATAATTTCACCAAGTAGTGCAACCGTGCAATAAAGTCAACTGGTGATGTGAGATTTTTTTTTGTTATATGGATTCGACGAATTTGCTCACCAAAATTTCGATACTCGTCGCCGGATTTAAGTTTCCAAGAAATCAAAGCTATTTGTGTTGTTTTTGCTAAATAGATAAGTATTTACGCAGATATGATATGATTTTTATGATTTATCAATTAGATACACCACCTGTAAGCCAATTTCTCAATAGACTTTTAGTATTTAGCAACCTTGGAGACATCCGAGTAATCAGTTTTCATCCAACCATGGGCTGTGGACTGTCGACGTCGCAGCTTCAGGCAGTTTTATCCGAATGCGGATATAGTTCGATCACATCTAGTCTGGCCTCGACTATTGTCAACCGGATCAATGATTTCACAAAAGATTGGAACGAAATAGCCATGTTTCTGGCGCAACTGATCCACGAGAGCGGTGGCTTCCAGAATCGAGAGGAGGATGGCGGAGGTGCCGGTCAGGAATACGGAACGCGATACTTTGGACGTGGATTTATACAGTTGACATGGGAGGACAACTACAGGAAGGCTTCGCGGGCGCTCTTCGGGAATGATCGACTGGTTCATAATCCGGCTTTGGTGTCCAAAGATCCGGACCTGTCGATGCGCGTTTCGGTTTGGTACTGGTTAGAGGTAGTCCGTCCGGAAGGCGGCCCTAAGCAGAACAAATTCGGCATGACTACCAAGGCGATTAACCCCATAGAAGGGGGTCCGGAGCACCCTGCTGCGAAGAGACGCTACAACTTCTACCGGAAAGCGGCCAATGTTTTGGGTGTCAAGGATCTGGCCAGCGATGAGTGGTGGTAGTGGTAGTGTCGGTCAACAAGGTTATATGAAATATAACTAATATTTTGACCCTTGTCTCTCTATCTATCTCTCTCTCTCTCTCGCCGGCTTTGGTCTGTCATAACCTGTCACAAATCATCCAATTGAATAAACCCGGGTTAATCCGAAATCATTATTCAGAGTAGGTAACTGAAACTGTTAGGGGCCACCTTCAGCTTTGATTATGATGGCCACCAAACCTTTGGGATTTTCCTTATTAAAGAGTTGTATAGATTTGTTTCCTTTAGTTTACTTAAATCTTTGGTTGTAGTTTCATTTTTATACCTGTGTTCTTGAATTGTTTACCTATGGGATGAGAACTTAAGGGGGGGGGGGGGGGGGGAGTTAGATTTTGTTAAGTTCTTTTTGATTTACGGTTTAGCGACTTTGCAGTCAATTTAATTGTGTATAGGAAAGTTTGAACATACTGAGAGGTAAGCACATATCATCGGTAAGGGACGTTTGTAAGAGATGTTTGTTTGCGAAAAAATCTAAGTGCACCTTTTGTTTAGTTCTTTAGTGGGAATGACACTGATGAAGACTGCACATTGTAGTCGAAATACGTATCTGTCATGGATACCAAAATTAATTAAGTGGAATTGAATGGAAGATAACCTTTTTTTGCTGCTTTATTTATGCATTCCGCTAACAACCCAATTTCATTACTTAATTAAAATAACTTGTGTGATATAGGGGAAAAGGCTCTAATGTTGGCCTATGGATCTAAGATTGGGCCCATCGCTAAAAATCTGCTATTTATCAATTGTATTTTGATGAACGCGTCATTGGGACGGTACTAATGGATATGTTTGGTTGCTATTGAAAATTCAGTCGATTGCTGAATTTTTGTATGGGCCCAAATTAGGGACACTTAGGCCGAAATTACATACATTTCCCCTAAATCGCAGAAATTGCCATGATTTTTTTCGTACGGTGTGCAAGGTGGAGGGGCACTGGATGAATTTGTGTCCTAAGTGGATGAACCGGAAGCAGCCGTAGAAGCAAGCTAGATCAATATGAAGAACAGAGTGATAGCAGTCCGTACGCTGGTATTGTGGCTGGAGGTACTTTTTTGAACAACAAGAAATCAGGGGAAGATATTGAGGTGCTTGACAAAGGGATAGTTAACATGGCCGTGGCCACCCCGAAGACTGCAGTAGAGAAGTTCCAGGTCAAATAGCGTTTAAATACATAGAAGGTTACCGTCTTCGGCAAAGTTGTTCAGATGGATAAGGTCTATTAGATGGTGAACAGTACAGGTTATAATTCCCGCATTAGGAGGCACTAGTGTACCGTTTGACATGTAATTGCTTGTTTTAGTTTGAAAGCTCGACTCCGTGAGAAAATAACAAAAAAATTACAGGTTAAATTGATCTAGAGCAAACTAATTTCCATATTTTTTCAGCACGTATAATTTAATATAATTAAAAAATGGTTTCTATCTTCAACAGAGGGAAAAGGTTTATTGAATGACTGTCGGATCCGCTCAAGCAGTGCTACTGTACCGTTTGACTTCTAGTTGATTGTCTTTGGCAAAGTTGTTCAGATGAACAAAACCTACCAGCTGTCGATAGTTTGTCTGATTTACACTTGACAGATTAAATATAAGGTTGCCCTCTTTGGTAAAACTTTTTAAATGGACAATGGACTTATTGCGAATTCCCGCTACAGGTGGTGCTAGTGCTCCGTTTGAAATCTAGCTGCCTGCTTTAACTTGCGAGCTCGACTAGACAGAAATATGCTGTCTTTTGCAAAGTTGTCCAGATTGACAAGACTTATTGGAGGGTAAACAGTTCAATTCATAATTCACTCACCTGGTAGCTCTAGTGTGCATTTGGTTTCAAATAATTAACTTAACTATTTAACTAGAAGGTTGCTATCTTCATGAAAGTTGTTCAGGTGGATAAGAACTGTTGGATGCTGATAAACTCAGTCTAGAATTATGATTTTTCAAAGGGACGCACCTGTTTTTTTTTAACAAAGATTCAAACGTCAATTTGTCGAAACTCTTAGCACTCTCACGCAACTAACACCACCATCAGAAAGGGTAATGCTTCCCCAACAAGATGGTGTTGTTAGTTTGCGTGGGAGTGCTAGCGGTATCGACAAATTGACGTTTGAATTTTTGTTTACAAAAGCAGATACGTACCTTTGATAAAGTAATCGAGATTTGACTTCTAATTACTTGACTAAACTCGAGGCTCGACAAGTAGAAGGTTGCTCTCTTGGGTAAAGTTGTGCAGATAGGTAAGACCTATTGTAAGCTCAACTCATCTCTACCTGATGCTAGTCTTATCGCTGGTTGATTCTGTATTCGTATGGTATAGTTATGTGATTATGGGCTTTGAACTCACTAAACAGGGGACGCTTTGGTTTCAAATCATTTACTATATTTTAGATGGTCAAATAAATGGAAGCTTAAAGATGTAAAAATGGATATAACCTATTGGATTGCGAACTGTTTAGTAGAGAGTTCCCGCACGAAGTGATTCTTTCAATGATTCTTATTAACCTGATCAACGTTTCCGAAGACTACATCGTTCTATCTAGTCTATAGAATGTGTATAGTTCATCTGAAAAACTTTGCCGAAGACAGAAACCTTCTAGATCTATAGGGTTGCAACTTTTTTTATCTAGTTCGCTTATTCGGAAGGCTCAGTCATGCTAGCTTTACGGAGCCGATAATCCAATGTTTATTGTTTTTAACAAAATTCACTTATTTCTATGTCTAGTAGGAGTTGGGCCGAATAGTGCAACTTGCCCATGTTGGTACTAACGCCATCTAATGTTTATTATTTGTGTCATAGTTAGCAAGACCTTGTTTTCCTGAACATCTTTGCTGGAGAAAGTAGTTTCCTATTGAGTTCCAGGAAAAATAGCGAAACAAATAATAATCCGATTTGTGTGATACTTTTCGTAAATGTTTGTAATGGGCAATGTTTCACGTTTGAGCTCTGCTTGGAATTCTCTGATCGATTGATTGATCGACCTTCTCCGATTTGTGTGATACTTTTCGTAAATGTTTGTAATGGGCAATGTTTCACGTTTGAGCTCTGCTTGGAATTCTCTGATCGATTGATGGATTAGTAGCCCAACAAACATTGAAAGCTGATTCAGAGCTTATTCAGGAAAAAAATAGGTTTCATCAGGAAAAAAATAGTTTATTCAGCTTTTAATTAGCTCAATTGTTTGTTGGGAGTGCCGGCGCCAGTGGTGTAGTGGTAAGCGTGACTGCTTTCTCACCCCAGTGGATCTGGGTTCAATCCCAGCCGAGGTTGGTGGGATTTTGCTGATGCATAAAAATCTCTGGTCACGTCTTCCTTCGGAAGGGAAGTAAAGCTGTTTGTCCCGACCCATATGTGTTGAATTGAATGGGTGCGATATCCTGCGCAGGTGTGGAAGCTGCCTTCCTGCACATTCGATTGCCGTCAATGGATGGCAATCGATGTCCGTCGGTGATTGGCACTAGATTGCGGAACAGAGACCAACGTTAAACAAAGGAAAGAAGTTTGTTGGCAGTGTCAGAATTACATTCTAGTCATCATTAAGTTTGTCGAAATTCCTTCAGAGTTGCTTTTGGATTCCCTTGATTTCTACTCATAATCCTGATGATAGTATCTTCAAAATGAAATACTTCTCAAAATTACCTGGCACTTCTAATCAAATTCCTTTAGAATTGTGCTCAGATGCTCTAAAAAGAGTGAATTTTAGAGGACTACAGTTCTCCTCAAATCTCATTTGGCATTCTCATCAAAATTTTTCCAGATCTTCAATGTGTCAGAATCCTGAAATGTTGTCTTAGTTCAAGGTTCAAGGTTTAAGTTTTTTTGTTTAATCTAAGATATGGAAAATAAAGCCATTGTCGGGTTGTTTAGAATTCAGTCTTAAATCTCGAAAAGTTCACAGTAATGTAAAAGGCTGGTCTATCCTCCTATATTCTCATGAAATCCTTAAAAAATACTTCTATTCTAATAACATTCATTTCTATCAATCTATCACTTTATAACATCCAACTTGGCCAGTATCGTTCTGCCTAAACGGCCAATGAGATCGACACAAATTTGAATTCGGTTTACTCGTAAATAGTAAAAAGTGCATTAGCTCAGCGCTGAGTAAATTTTCCTGCGTTTTTTTTTGGGTTTTACCAGGAAATACATCCCGAATATAAGAAAAGTTAAGATTGAATTCACTCAGTCTATTGGTACTACTTCTAGACTGAGTTAAATTTTCGTCAATTTTCCTCATTTGCCGGCATATTTTCGAGGATTTCCAGCAGGAAAACATGAGGCAAATTTACTCATCGCTGAGTTCCTGCACTTTTTGCGATTAAGGAGTAAACTGAACTCAAATTTTGGTTGATCTCATTGGCTATGTAGTGCCTCTCGAAAATCAAGTTCATGTAACAGTGATGCCACATATACAGATTTATCTGTAATCATCAGATTTTTGTTTCAATATTTTTATTTAGGTATCTGTATATACAGATTACAAATTTCAAAAACATATGCAGATTTCTCAGATTTTCCAAATAAGTGGAATATATTTTGCATTATTTTTTATATAATAATTCCGATAGATAATCATTTCTTCCTTTTTGAGCAGTTTGAATTGACTCTTTGAGCAAAATATTAAATAATTTTAAATGTACTTCTGTTGTTCAGATGTCCTATAATAAAGAAAAAAAAAGATGTCCTGATTTCTGATTGCTCGTTTGGAGCAATATTTGTTTTCCATTCTTATTGTTTAATTAACCATGGTGACCGACACGATGGTTTTTTTTTTTTCCTTTGGTTTGTTTTTTCCGTCGATCTTGTTTTCCGTGCTGAGCACCAATGCTACCGACGCGCCAGGAAGGCAGCTCCCACACCTGGACCATACCTATCGACCCATCAATTCATGAACCGGGGACCAACGGCTTTACTTCCCATCCGAAGGAAGGCGTGATCAGAGATGTTATGCCTCAGAACATCCCAGCGGCGCCG